TCGTCCACTCATCCTCCCTTATATTTTTAAATAGTCATCTTTGGCATATTTGAACATGGCCGGTAAAAAAAAAATTTGGAAATTATGCCAACCAGAAACTAAACACACTCCAAAAAATCTCCGGCAAGAGGCGGTGGTTGGTGCAAATTTCACAGCATCATCAATGGCCGCAATGTGTCGAATCAGAAGAACTGTGATCACCTGCGGTACATTTTGCTGAAGGCAATGACGTACGGATGCAAAATGTGGTCACTAACGATACAGAGAAGCAAGTACGGGAGAGCGACGAATACTTTTTTGAGGGTTTTTTGCGACCACATAAACAATCAGACTCTTCGTCAAATGAGCGTGGCATGCAGAATTTGCTTGCAAGATCACGCAAGAAAATGAAATCCGATGGACGAAGCATGTTACTTGCTTGCCAATAGCCGATGCACATCGCGCCCGAGTGCACTGCGCTCTCGAGAAAGTAAACGACCACTCGAACTACTGCTGAATAGATGGTGTACATACATTGTGTAAGCTCAGAATCAAGAAAAAAAAGAAAAAAAAAATAAAATATCACCAGATTTTAAGGCCCCACATCGATTGCTGTTTCTAAATTTCGTGAAATTTGTTCTATATCCATTTATGACAACAATTAGCGCTTATTGAGGGCAAAATTTTTTTGGTGTCAAAGTATATGTGGTTTAAAAATAAGTTCAAAAATTTCACCAACACAGGTCTAAGTGTTGTAGAAATCTTAGAGATACAAACAATGAATATCTCTGGCAAGGAGAGACTGGAAGAGGACGGGCACCTGAAATCGTCTATGTCTTAACATATTCAATTTATTTGGCGCTATTGGCCCACCGTGGAGAGAAACACAGTCGAAATTTGAAAAATTTTCCTGAACTGCTTGGCGAGGGCAGTGATTTTTGCAACAACTGTTTAGGACATTTCGTACGGCGATTCGCTTGTTACGATGCGAACTGCATCAGAGACGTTTGTTGAAAATGCGCCTGAAGAAGGGCAGCAGAAACAAGAAGAGTTAGCAAATCTTGAGCGCGATTCAACTTATATCTCGTCTGGTGCTGCTGCTACTGTTGATGATGATGATGGTGAGGGATTCAAGGAGAATGTTCCGGAACCGGAGCGCCACAGTATTATTGATGGCAAAGGTAAATTACTTTTTTTTT